TGTAGTAATGGTTAAAGGATCAATATCTTCGTCTAAAATATATCATTCATCCATTTAACATTCTTTAATCAATTTAACTGATTCTTTCAAAAACACATGAACAAACCTTCATCAGTCTCAATGGTAACATCAAATCCAACGTGCCAAACATTTCTTATATCAAATGTTAATAAACAATAATCATTTTCCATTTTTTCCATAAAATCTTTTCTTGAACCTTTATTGTTCCACTTCATAACTTTAAGCAAATCTTCGATCACCCCATTCCTTTGATCTTCAATATCACGATTAGCTGACTCATAATTTTCTTCTCCATTTAAAGGTTTAAAATTAAGTATATCCATTGATATTGTTTCCAAATTTTGATGAATCGTTAATAATACTGGATAAAATACTTGTCTTGTATAAAATTGTTCATCATCCGATGTATTTGGCCGAATAAGATATCCGTAATCTATTTGTATAGTTCCATTCACGCTTTTTTTTTTAAAAAAAAAAACATAATAATAATAATTAAGTTCTTATAATTTGTAGTTAAAATAAATCGAATGATCAATTAATTTACCATCCTCTCTTTCCAAATACATTAACATTAACTATCCATTCATTCCCTGGTAAAATTTTAACATTATCTTTTTTATTCCAAGAAAATACTGATTGTTTATGCGCATATAATTCCATTTCATATGCTTCCTCCGCTGGCATATCTGATGAATTTAATAATGCTTGAGCATTGGCAATAGTTGAATCATTAAATGATAAATTTAAGAAATCAACTGGCGTTTTTCCAACATTCTCAAGTTTTATTGTCAGTTCAGTTCTTAACGCATAGAAAAAGGGAAAAAAAGAAAAAAATTGTTTAATTTATCTTTAAATAAATCAATTACATAGCTATATAATATATACTTACTGTTCTCCCTCAAATAACATCATTGCTCCATGCATTAATGAAGTGGATTTGATCTTTATTAATGGTTGTTCAGTAATAACAGAAACTTTTAAAAATTCTGAAACAAAAGTTTTTTTAGTAGGTGAATTCTCCTCTTGTTCATTCGATTGTGTAGTATCTAAAGATCAAGTCCATCAATAGAATTAATACTTTATATCATAATAATTATTGAGAAATATAATGAAAACAAACCTTTTTTATGATACGAATTTAACGCGGCTAAGCCACTACAAAATAAAACAACATTAATTAACTAACGCTTAATCACAGTCATAAATACTTTAATATCATATACCATTTCTTTATCCTTTTGCTATACTCTTCATCTCTTTCTTTCTTTTTAATTTCTTCTTCATTTGGTGGTAAAAATAAACAAAATTCTTGTTCTAAACAACCATGTACTTTTATTTTACATCCCCTAACAATCAATTCTCCAGACTCGGTTGGTGTTCCAGAAATTCTTAATGTTATAGACGTATTAGATAATATGGTGGTTGAAAATGGATTTGGAGTAAAAGCTACACCATCAGTGCTAAATTAATAAATAAAATAATTTTATAAATAAAATTTTTTTTTTTTGTGTCTTAATAAATAGGTTTTTCTTCCAAAAATTGTCTAACCTCACTGATATGTTTTGAATTTCCATATCAAATGCAAAAGGATTTGCTAAGGTAACTAGGAAATATGAAGTTTCATTCGCTATTAAATGTATCTAAGGAAAGAAAAAAAAATCTTTTAAATCAAGTGTATTTATAAAAATATGACATTATATTACATACCTGAGCAGTCTCTACTTTCTTTTTATTAAAAGATTGATAAATAAATGGACTAACTCCTTCTTTCTTATCTTCATTCTTTAAAGATAATTTCTTATTAGCATGTGGATAAGGTATCCTCCTTGAGGTTGGACTAAATAATTCATTCTTTTAGAAAAATTTGAATTCTTATTTAAATAAATTTATTAATTCCCTTCTACGTACCGACACACTTGAATTCCTTTAACAATATTCAGGCCCCAATATTTAAATTCCATATCCAATCCTAGTTTTTTACCAGCACCAACGATGCGTGGAATTGATGCCGACAAACGAACTTGTTCATCTCTATGTATATACATGAACAACTTGCGCAAGAGTCTTGTTGTATATTTTACCATAGATGGATAGTCTTTTAATAAAACAAATTATTAGATGATTTCTAGAAATTAGAATTCAAGAAAAATTTATGTTATACCTGGAAGTGCTTCAGAAATTGTTAAAGCATCTTTTATTACGTCGATTTGAATATCTGGCCAACCGAAATCGAGCGGTCGTGCATCTTCATCGATCACAGAATAATCTGTTTGGTCAACATCATCTAATTATAAATTAGATTAACATCAAGCACTCGATTTATCGTTATGCCACAACACAATACCGATTACCTCCTACACCATAAATTTCCGCGATTTTCTTTAAACAAGTTAATAATCCACTTTCACTTCCGATCGATGATTTATTGGTTTGTGGTGACGAATTACGTGGTTTAGAAAGAAGTGGTAAAATTAACAAAGCTGTTTGTCGAAGAAAAAATGCATGTTTCCGACGAAAATTAATTACTGAAAAGATTGCCGATAACGTAGTAGTTATATGAATCTATTTAAATAACACATACATACGTAAATAATTTTTAAAAACAAAATTAATAAGTATAAAAAAGTGAGAGAAAAGAATTATAAACTATTTATTAATACCTGTTCAGTAATGCTCATCTCTTCTATATAAGATCCATACCCTTTCATCGCCCACCGAGTAACTTCAATTTTCGAAACCCCACTTACGGAACTTAATCCCCATCTCTCGTTTAATCCCTTTTCTGGAGTTCCACCATGAACAATTAGTTTTAATGCATCATCACCCCATCCGCCCGTTACCCATATGCATGCCAAATATTTTGCAACTTTCAAACAAGCTTCCGTATAAATTAAAGGGGGCACTTGATTATTTGAAGGACTCGAAGTTTTGGCATATAACGTAAGGATATTAACATATTTTTCAGTTATATCTATCCAAAGAGCTTGAGGTGACTCAGGTGATGAAGGAGCTGATGAATCATTTGGACTCGGTGAAGACGGATGTTGAAGATAATGCGGCTATCATAATATAATTATATAAGTAAACGAATAATTGATTTTAGCAGTAGGTTAAAATCAGAATCTTACCCCAACATCTGTATGGAGGTAGGCCGCAAGAAGTAACCCAACACATAATCCTTCTAAAGCTGACCCTTGCCATAAATAATCACCATTCGCTTTTGTGGCTTCAATAGCGAGAGAATAACTTGAAAAAATAAAAAGATTTTAAATATTTTAATACGTAATGGGAGAATCGTATAAATTTTGAGTTTATAATTTATTACGTTTACTTACTGTGATACAGCATCAGGTAATCTTCCGGCCATTAAAAATAAGTCTGCGATTAATTTTTCAATACGGCCAGTTGCTCTCCTCTTTAATTTAATATCAGCGACTGTATTTGGAACATTAGCAATATTGACTAGCGTTGACGATGAGAATGATCTATTATGGTAGGAATTTTCTTTAGGGCTAACATTTGCTGCAGCTCCAACACCAGTGGTAGTCATAGCTTGAACAGGGGGTGTAAGTGGGAAAGCTGGAGGTGTTTGAAGTAATTTTAAATCAGGGGCCGAATATGATTGGAGAGGTGTAGAATATCGTCCATTTGTCGACTGAGATTGGGAAGAATTTGGTGATGGAATTTTCGGTGAATGTACAATTGTTCTCCTTTCAATATCGGCCGCCTAAAATTATTTTAGAATATTGATTAGACAACTTAAATATCATATTCTCTATATTAAATTAAAAGACATACTAAATTTCCGAATTCGTTAAGAATACTATTTGCAAAATCTGAGATCATTGTGCCCATATAAAAATCTATTTTTCCAACATCCGGAATCATGATTAATCCTTTAGTATCATCAGGCTGATCTTCTGAAGGATCAAATGCAAAACATCGATGGGCAACAGCAGTGCGATACTAAAAAAAAAAATAATAGATAAATAAAAATGATTCCATAATATCGCGCAAATAAATTCTATGCAATTTTTCCCTACATTTTTAATGATCTCGCTAAATTTCTTATACCCTTCCTTTAAATTCGGCCACTCGCGACAATCCATTATACCGATTACCTATAAGAATTAATTAGGAATCAATACATAAATATATGTTCCGAATTATAAAATTTCATTGATACGTACCCCAAAAATCCTACGATGCATTTGGAATTCTTCAAGATAAGCATGTTCCGGTTCATAAGAAGTCACGAAGTTAAAGTGTAGCTGACCTTCATGAAATAGCTGTGAGCTGAACATGGCTGCAATTATTTTTAATATTTTTGTGATTTGACACAACATACATCAATGAAACAGTATATATTATTGGTATCTGTAAATATAATTTAGTTGAAGCAAATAATTTTCTAAATGAAGAATTGTTTATTTCTTTGGCTGCATTTAAAGGATAATTATTCTTTTCAATGTGAATTGAACCCATTTCCGTTCTCTTATAAACATTAGCCAATCGAATCTTCATCTGATTTTTTTAACATTTTAAAAATGTTTGTTAATACAAGTTAAAATGACTACTCACATTGAACCCCTCGCATATCCGGGGTAACGTCCCCAAGTCTTACTACATTAAAGTTTTTCACTAGTTGAACGTGTTTATGAAAAGTTGGCGCTTTAATGGGATGTACTGGTACGAGTAAGATTCGAATACGAGCAGGAGCGGTAAAAAGAAGGGGGTCCATTTCAAAAATAAAAAAATTGTTCTTTCAACTTTTTGTGAGATTGATGTAAGCAAATAATTACCTTAAATACTCTACCAAATTTGGATACTTTTCATTTGTTCAGGTTACATTAACGTGTCACTTTAAAGTTTCGTGCATTTCGACCAATCAGATAATACCACTTGTTAACATAATAAATTATAAAATGCGGCAAAAACTCGATTTTTTGATTTTTAATATCCCAAGAAACAAGAAAATAATGAGAAAAGCATTATACTTCAAATTTTTCTGTGCACTTTCAATTTTTTTCCTGACTATTTTTGTTTTACCTTTAGAAGCAAAAGAAGAAATATGTAATGGTGACGAATGTTATTCTAAAGAATTCGTCGCAACAGAAGAATTCCAAGAAGTACGTGAAGGACAAGAAATACATCCAGGTATGATTTAATCCAAATTTATGAAAAATTGCAATCATTTGCATTAAAACTTTTTTTTTTTTATTTAGGTTTGCATGTCAAAATAGACATGAGTACCGGAAAGAAATACGCGAAAATACTTGATCCAAATGATAACGAAACTAATAAATCTTCAGAAGTGATAATAATTGACGAACATGGCAATCCAATAAATCAAGAAGAAAATGCATCCGAAAATTTATTAATTACTGATAAATCACAAACTAACAATAAAGATTCCGATTTAAAATTTCATCAAGATTCTAATGAAAGTATTTTTTCACATCCATTTATTACATCAAAGCATAAAGAGAATGTTCGTATCCCACATTCAGATCATGTTCAATTTGAATCCTATCTTTCACAATTAGAAAATTCATCATCCATTCAAGTCATAAATTCAGCTTTAGATGGATTAGAAGAATTGGTTCATGAACTAGATTTTGGAATTAAATTGGCTAGAAGTCAAGGCATAAAAATCATACTTGCACTTTTAGATCATGATTCGGCTCAAATCAAGAAGAAAGCGGCCATTGTTATTGGAACTGCAATGCAGGTGGGCAACAGAAATTAATATTTGATACTGTAATGAATTTTTAATCTAAATTCCGAACAATGTTGTTTTAGAACAATCCTACGGCACAAAATGATGTAAGCCACCTAAATATTGTGACTCGAATTTTCGAAAGTTTGTCAATTGAAAGTGATATAAAAGTCTCGATTCGACTTTTATACGCATTATCAAGTATCGTACGAGGAAACAAAAATGCGATTCAATTCATTAAAGATAGTAACGGATTACAAAGTCTTGTAAATTTATATCAGAGTTCATCAAATAATGAATTTCGTGCAAAGTGTGCTTTGTTCATATCAGATTTTATAGATCCAAATATGATAGGACAAAATACAGGACTTTTTGAACAAGGTCAATATTATGACTCCATAGATCCATTAATGAACGTTATGGAAATATGGTGTAGAAAATTCCAAGAAACTTTGTTTGATAATACAGGAAGTTCAAATAAAGTTGACATCGATTCAAGAGAAAAAATACTCAAAGGAATTTCAATGATCAAAAGTCAATATTCCAGTTCATGCGAAACACAGGATGGATTTAAGAATTGGATAGTTAAAGAAGAAATTGAAGCAATAGGGGAAGATTATTTAGAAGATTATTATAAATTGATCATTCAAGTTAAAGCTCAATTTGGATTTTGATGAATGATGTAATACAAAATTATAATTATTATTATCTCTTGTTTTATTCGTTAATTATAAATAACAATAATAGTACAACAAATAAAAAAAATAAAAAATCAAATTTGTTTCACAAAATATGGTTCGATAACAATTTTGTATTTGTATGTTATCGTAACGAATTTAAATTATGTACCGAATTTGATGAACAAAATGCACATCATAGAAACACATGTACCGTGCGCATTTTCATTATATATATATAGAGCTCAACGTATCCATCGAAAATTCATCATCCCTTCTCCTTCACCATTTCCTTTAAACACTTTTCTTTCGTTTTCCCATCAAACAAAAAAAAAAGTACACACATTCCTTCCTTTAAATTATATTCACACCTCATATTATATTCACCTCATTTTTAAATATGAAATCTTTCACTGTTGTCGTATTCATCGCCCTTGTACTTGCTACTTTGGCCATTTTGACACCTGTTGAAGCCAACTGGGTTATGAGAAGTAAATATAAATAATGAGTCATTCGTTGATGTTGAGGGTATCTTTTAATATTGTCGTTATTTAAATTTTTATTTATTTATTTTAGAAAAGAGAGACATCCAAGCAAAAAATACACCAGGATGCGAAACATGGGACGAGGAGGTAAATTTTAACAAAGAATATGATAAATTAATAAAATGATATTTCTGTTTTAACATTTTTATTGAAATAAAATAGAGCGGTGTCCCATGGCCAGACAATGGAAATAATGATGTCCAAGATATCTCTTGGACTCGCAACTGTATCCGATAATTGCTTTTTCAACCCTGTTTCCGTTTTTTATTGGAAATGTAATTTATTTGTGCATTTTTTGAAAAAATAAATTTGATATTTTAAATTTTAGATATAATTTTTGAAGGCATTAAATAAAAGTTACTTTCCCAATTTTGATTCTAATAAACTTGCTGCGCCGTAATAATACCTAAACGTGCAAGAAAAAACCGTTTTTCGATTTTCGATGTTTCTATAAATGCATCCACGTGACTATCACATAACGACGAATCTTATTTCATCCACGTGACCCTATATATTTTGTCATCCAATGTCACCCCTTCGTTTTTATTAATTGCGGTACTGTTACGAGTTTTTTAAAATTATTATAATACAATGCATGATACTTAAAGATTTCAATAAATCTGATGATTTTTAAAATGTTATCAAAAAAGAAAGCCGCATTTTGAAGCCAAATCAATTTACTACAAATTGCCCTTCTTTTTTTAAAATAATTTCTCATATATCGATTTAAAAATACCTCTTTTCATATGAACCAGTATTCAGTAGGACAAGTATGTGACTTGAAATTGGTTAATAAATTATCAGACGTTGTTATGGGACCATTTATTAGACAGAGACGATGATCTCTGGCGGCAAAAATTTCATATTTTATTATATTAATTATAATTTCTGCTCATTTCAGCGAAAACAAAAATAAATCTTTATTAATTTTATTACCCAAAAAAATAATTTTTCAAAGAATTTTCTAAAAGATTTTAGCAAAAATAATATTGAAAAACTTCTTTCTACACTACAACTAAATACAGGTAACCAAAATATAATTAAGTGGAAATTTTGAAAGAATTGGTGATTTATCTTCAAGATTCATCCAATATTTTTCTAAATCAATTTCTTCAACTAAAATTTCTAATTGCAATTCACAAAAAAATTGCCCATTCACAAAGCAATTCATCAAAGGATTTGCTCTAATAATACTATAATAACACAAAATTTTCTTTCTAAAGTACCAAATAATATATATTTAGGATCAAAATTTTGATCAGCTTGAAAAAGAGAATGTGTAGGATGTGAAGGAATATGTGAATTAAATTTGTTTTAAACTTTAAAAACTGATATAAAATTCATATGAACTAAAATTATAAGAAGTAATAATAACAACAAGTTCTAAACTAAAATTTAAAGAATTACAATTGTTTTCTAAAAATGCAGTAAGAAAATAAAGGTATTTTTTATTAAAGAAAATATAGATTTGTTTTATATTTTAAAAAATCAGTATTTTATATAAATAATTGTTTGCATATATAGAAATAAAATGAATAATAACTAAAATAATACTTATATTATAGGAATTAAAATGATTTGTGAAATATTTTAAAGAGTTACATTATTTGAATCATTAATTGATTCATCTTAAAAAAAGGAATTCTAATATGTTAAATATATTTTAGTATAATCAACTATTTAAACCATGAGTTCTAATATATAAAAATAAGAAAAATATTTTATAAAAAGAAGATATATCATATAAGCATAGATGTTTTAAATATCTATATTTTCTTGTTAAATTACAAATAAAAACATTCTTTTACTTAACTAAAAATTCTTTTAAAAGTTAAAAGAATTAAATTTTCATTATATTTTACTATAAAATTTAATTAATAATATTATTATTTGATATAATAAAATTATATAAGAAAAAATATTTTACTTACATACAATAAGATATATGAATCAATTAAAATATAATAGGATATAATATTTCATGAAAACATTTTTATATAAACAACTAAATATGAAAAAAATAGCTAAAAAAGAAAAAAATAAATATGATAATTTGTTAAATTAATAAATCTACAAAAACTAATTTTGTATTTTTTTGAAAATGAAAAAAGATATTTATTATACTATATTTACAATCATTCGTAATTTCATTCATAATAATTACTACTAATTTATTTTTAAATAAAAATTTAAATTAATTTAAATAGGTTTCAAAATTTTAAAATAAATAGATTTGATATAAAGTATATACTTAAAAAATAAATTCTTCTTGTTTTATATGTTTTTAAAAAAAGAAGTGAATTTACTTTTTCTAAAGATATACTAGCAATAACAAAAAACACAAATTAAATTTTTTAAATCTTTTTACCATTAGCAATTAAAATTGTTGAAGCAATTGTTCTTTATTATAAAATAATTCTATTATTTCTTTATTTGTTTTTATTCTTTTTTTTTATATGATGAATAATATCATAAAATGATTATTGATTTTTTTATTTAATGATATGATTACAATAAAAAAAAAGTAAATACTATTATTAACTTTAAAATTAAAAGAGTATTTATTTGTATAAGTATATATTATTACTTTACTTTAAATTATATTTATTAATAATTAACATTGAAAAATTAAATAAAACTTAAAAAAATCCAAAAAAAATATTTGTGATTTATCAAATTTTAATTGATTAATCTAATATAATATATATGATTTCTTAAATTCTATGAAATTTATAATATTTTTTTAATTTTAGCTTTTAATATAATATTTTACTAAATTTATAGCTTTTAGCTTAAAGCCAAAGATTATTATTCCTATTATTAAATAATAATTTATTAAATAACAAAATAATAAAAAAATTACATAAATTATATAATATGATATTAAATAAAATATAAACTAAAGTAAAATAATATGATATAGCATAATAATAATAGATATTTATTAAATAAATATAATTAAAATAGGCAAAATATTAAAATAGTAAGTTATATAATCATAATGATATAATGGACTGAAATTAATGAATATGTAGGAATATAAAAATAGAAAATGTAAAATTTTAAAAGAAATACAGAAAGAAAAGAAATATAAAAGACAAAATAAAATATGAAAAAATAATATTTTAAAAGATAATATTAAAGAGAAATTGAAGTTTATAAAAAATAGTTTATTAAAGTTAATTTAAAAGATCAGTTGATCAGTTGATAGCTATCAAATTAGCAAATTTTATTAAATTATTTATTTATTAATAAAATTATTTTTAAAATAAAAATAAAAATTAAAAAAAAAACTCTTTTCATCGATCACCAAAACCAAAAAAATGACTGAAAAGAAAACCACTTGTAACAACAACTCCAAACCTTACCAAGCTCGTTCTTCTCCTATAGAGAACGATCAACAACAACAACGCTTAGCTAAGAAACAACATATTAAACTACCAAAATAAACAGAAACTTCAAACACCTTTGGAAGCAACTCCAACAGCCCTATAGACATAGAAGTTAAAACTTCGCTCCCTAAAACTTTAGACAAGGAAAAAGACCCTGAAACTTCCAACAATAATGCTAACATTCTCCTTGACGAGAACCAAGCCTTTGATGCTTCTGAAAATGGCCTTAATAACAAACAAAATGATAAAAATGAAATCCACTTAGAGTGCAAAACTGAAGCCCCAATCTACTTCGCTTACTGCGCCGCAGATAAGTTTTACCCTGGAAAATCTAATAGAGACAAACAAAACGAAGCATGTGATTTATTTGTATCATACTACTCGTCTTTCATTAGTGTCTCAATTCGTATTCACCCTGAGGACTCAACAAAGAAAATCATCCAAATTGGTTTTATCTCATATGCTGAAGCAAACAATGCAATTACACTTAAATTTCCATGTTTGGAAAATAACACATTTTTACCCTTACAATCAAACCAAAGCTAAGTACATCCCTGAATTGTTGATCTGTCTTACTGAGATCCCGATCTCTACTACTGAATCAAATATTAGATTGACCTTTTCCTTTTTTGAAAAGATCTTCCGTTGCGTCATATCCACTAAAAACCTTTGGTAGCAAGCTATCCTCACATTTGAACAAGACACAGATATGACTACCCTGAACAAACTTAACAGCTATTTTGTCCTTAAAGACTTAATCAGGGTCTACCCATGTACTATGTCAGTCGAAGATATTAGGAAAAAATCAGAATTTTCTTTGAAATTAACTAACCTCTCACTTGATACAAATGGGCGCCATTTAATCTCTATCAGTAATGCTATTGAAGCGATTGCCTAGATCATCCCCAAGTCACGTGCTAATTACAGAAATTTACAATACACTATCTTTTATTTTAAAACTAAAGAATCTATGGAAGCAGCTAAAAATGGAGAAACGTATTTCCTTAATAGAAAATGATTAATCTGGACTGATCTTAATGCAAAACTTTGCTTCACCTGTCAAGTTCTAAGTTACCAATCGCAGAATTATCATAAAAATCGTTCAGCCTCACAAGACCGACAAACTCAACACTTATACCAATGTTACCAGCCTACATAGTTTCAAAATTACAAGACACCTGTCGTCATGTCCAAACCACCACCCTACCCTAATAAACAGCAGACTACAAATAAACATAAACTGAGCCAACAACAAAATAATGCTAAAGATATATTTAAATCTAGCAACGTTATTGCTCCGCTCAATCATCAAACAACCTTTCCTCAAACTAAATCAATAAAAGAAGATCAATACCAACAACGTACTACTCCTATCTGCCCTATCAATGATAAAGGAGAACAAACCTTAGACACTAGTATACATGTATCACATCGCTGGGTTGATGAAACTTTAGACAAATTCTGTTTGCCAAATGTTACCTCAAACTAATCATCCCAACCAAAATTGCTCGCTCAGATTTCCAATCAACTGATCACTATCTCTAAGCAGCTCACTAAAATGGAGTCAGATCTCCACTCGACTGCGAATCGAGTTGCTACGGTTGAAAAATCCTTAATATCAACTTCCTACTTCCTCACTAAGCAGATTTACTTAACAAATCTTTCAATGAAGATGGTATGGAAACTGAGAAACATACCTATATAGCTGGTCCCTATACAAAAGACAATATTGTTGCTAAACAATTTGCTAAACTAATTACCTTGAGAGATGAAAATACTCTCCTCAAAACCAACCTTGAAAATAATATGACCAAACTCAATAATACAGGATGTGTCATCGCTAAC